ATATATCAGTTACAGTGATATATTTACAGTGAAGGGGTTCAGTTTCTACCAGGATATGATATGAATGTGAGGTCAGACCACCCAGCTGTATTCAGGGTCGTCAGATTTCTGCTGGAATCTTTYAACTCATTAGAACCAGAATCAGGGATCAGGCTGTTAGAACCAGAACCGGTCCAGCATCAACCCTGAACTCATTCTGGGTCTACCTGGGGTGTCCCTGCAGAACCCGTGGGGTCCGGCAGGTCCGGCGGCTCCGGCCTGCTCCCTGACGGAGGTGATGAGTGAACAGCTGGCCTCTCAGCTGGATGAAGAGAACAACGTCTTGGTCACWGCAGAGTGAGTCCGTTTCTACAGAACCTGTAGAACCTCAGTCTTAGAACCCGTCCCGCCTGTTGGACCTGAAGCCAGCTCTGGTGTCTCTGCTCCTCCTCAGCCCTGCGGTGGACCTCCTGCTGCCCGAGGACGTCCCTGACACCACCTCGGACCTGATGCTGGCCCAGATGCTGCAGATGCAGTTTGACAGAGAGTTCGACGATCAGCTGCGCCGGGAGGAGAAGAAGTTCAACGGAGACAGCAAAGGTAGGTTCTGGTTCTGCTCGGACCTCCTGCTGGTTCAGGTGCTTCTCAAGTCCACGTCTCCGTCTCCTTGACAGTGTCCATCTCCTTTGAGAACTACCGGATGGTCCACCCCTACGAGGACAGCGACAGCTCCGAGGACGAGGTGGACTGGCAGGACACGAGATGTGACCCGTACCGCGCCGGTGAGCGTCCTGCAGGTTCTGGTCCTGGGTCTGTGGACCTGGTTTAACCCTGTGTGTGCCCGTGTCCCCTCAGAGAGACCTCAGACCACGCCCAGGAGGGGTTTCAGCGGGAAGGGGAAGAACATCACCACCAAACATGACGAGGACACCTGCGGACGCAAGAACACGGCCCGCATGGAGAACGTGAGGCCACCGCCCCGTCACAGGAAGTCCTGGTCCACCTGACCTCTGACGCTAACAGGAAGTGGTTTCTGTCCCGCAGTTCGCTCCGGAGGTCCAGGTGGGAGATGGTCTGGGGATGGACCTGAAGCTGTCCAACCAGGTGTTCAACTCCCTGAAGCAGCACTGCTACAGTGAGCAGCGACGCAGCGCCCGGCTGCACGAAAAGAAGGAGCACTCCACCGCCGTACGTACCTCCTCCTGGTCCTGCAGGTAGACCTGCTGAGCCAGACCTGGTTTTCACCTGGTTCTCACCTGGTTCTCACCTGTCAGGAACAAGCTGTGGACCCTCGGACCCGTCTCATGATGTATAAGATGGTGAACGCCGGCGTTCTGGAGAACATCAATGGTTGCATCAGCACCGGGAAAGAGTCGGTGGTTTTCCACGCTGACGGAGGGAGGTGGGTCCACCCACAGAAGAGCCGGGACCACGGACCGGTCCCGGGTTTAACTAAGGTCAGAACTTCTTTTTGTGTTTCAGTCTGGAGGAGCAGCCCGTCCCAGACGAGGTGGTCCTGAAGGTCTTTAAGACCACCCTGAACGAGTTCAAGAACCGAGACCGCTACATCAAAGACGACTACCGCTTCAAGGACCGCTTCAGCAAACTGAACCCCAGGAAGATCATCAGGCTGTGGGCCGAGAAGGAGATGCACAACCTGGCCAGGTACCAGGGTCAGGGGTCAGGGTCTGGAGCCAGGGTCCAGGTACCAGGGTCTTAAACTGAGGGTCTCTGAACAACTCTTTATGTTGTCATCAGGATGAAGAAAGCCGGGGTTCCTTGTCCCGARGTGGTCCTGCTAAAGAAACATGTCCTGGTGATGTCCTTCATTGGGAAAGACCACGTCCCCGCTCCAAAACTGAAGGACGTCACACTGGGACCTGAGGACATGAAGACCGCATACCACCAGGTGTTACAGGTACAGACAGGAAGTCCAGTCTAGAGTTACAGGTACAAACAGGAAGTCCAGTCTAGAGTTACAGATAAAACAGGAAGTCCAGTCTAGAGTTACAGGTACAAACAGGAAGTGCAGTGTAGAGTTACAGGTACAAACAGGAAGTCCAGTGTAGAGTTACAGGTACAAACAGGAAGTGCAGTGTAGAGTTACAGGTACAAACAGGAAGTCCAGTGTAGAGTTACAGGTACAAACAGGAAGTGCAGTGTAGAGTTACAGGTACAAACAGGAAGTCCAGTGTAGAGTTACAGATAATTTAACTGAGTTGATTATGAGCTGCTGTGTGATTAATTGTTGGATTGTTGTGAGTCCAGTAAAGGTTGTTGACTTGTTTGTTTGTTTGCAGATGATGCAGCAGCTCTATCAGGACTGTAATCTGGTCCACGCTGACCTCAGTGAATACAACATGCTGTGGTTTGAAGGGAAGGTATGAGCCTCACTGTGTCCTCCACCTCTCTGTTTACTCTCGTGTTGTTTGTTTACTCTTGTGTTGATTGTTTGTTTACTCTTGTGTTGATTGATTGTTTGTTTGTTGTCTCAGGTGTGGCTGATTGATGTCAGTCAGTCTGTGGAGCCGACTCATCCTCACGGTCTGGAGTTCCTCTTCAGGGACTGCAGGAATGTTTCCACGGTAACAGCTGAGGAACACTATGTTGTTTTTTATTTTTATGAGCTCGGAGCTGAAAACAAACAAGTCACTGACCTGTAAACAAACAGTGCAGCTCACTGTGACCTCTGACCTCTGAAGAACCACACTTCCTGTTTGTCTTTCAGTTCTTCCAGAAGAGAGGCGTCAGCGAGGCTCTGAACGTCTACGACCTGTTCAACGCTGTGAGCGGACTGAACGTCCCTGTGGGCGCCGAGGACGAGGCCGAGTTCATGTCTGAGGTCAGGACCTGAACCTGAACCTGGTCCTGGTCCGGGTCAGGCTGAGACCTGCAGCGTTAACACTTTGTTTGTTCTTCAGATCGTGGCGTTGGAGAAGAGGAACGAGGATCACGTTCAGAAGAGAGGGAAGAAAACCTTCCCCGTGTCCTCCGAGGACTCTGGTCCTCCGTTAAAACCAGACGCCGATGATTAGCCCCGCCCACTCCACCACCGCGCTTAAAACACTCACTAGAGGATAAGAAGCCCCGCCCACCTCCTCCTGGAGGAGGAGCACCTCCTTCTGGCTGCAGGAGGAGAAGTTTCACCAAACAGGATCTGAGTCCTGCTGGGTCTGCCGGTCCTTTTTCTGCTGAGATCAATAAACCTGCAGCTTTAAAGTTAACCAGATGTCCTGATCCTGTTAACTTTAGCTGGTTTCATCTGAAGGTTCATCTGAAGGTTCATCTGAAGGTTAATCTGAAGGTTCATATCAGGAAGTGAACGTCAAACTGTTGGTTTCTGTCTTTGCTTTTTGTGTTTTCAGAGTTAAAGAAACGGGAAATGAATTAAAATATAAAATATTTATTCATGAGTGTTGAGGTCAGACGTCAGTTTAAAGTAATAAATCAGCAGAAACTTCCTGAAGCAACATGTTTTTATTTCTGAACATCATGAGAATAAAATCACGGAGAACACCTGTCTCTTTTATTTCACCATCTGCTCTGAGACTGTCATCATGTGACTCCTGTGATGAAGGATGTCACATGACTCGTTTACTCCAAGAAAAAAGGTTTTCAAAATAAAATAAGAAAAYTAGCCTCCATGTGATGAAACCTGAAAAATGTCTTCTGGACTCTGGTCTGTTTCAGTTACAAAAACAATTTTATGTGTGAATACTTTCTAGACTTAAATATTGACAATTACAAGCAGAATAAATTTGTTAAAAACTGGAAAACCAACAAAACATGCAGATAAAACATTTCTTTTATTAAAATYTAACAGTATGCAGATAAAACCTAAACTGGACAGTCTACCATTTGTGAACAAATTTTAAAATCAACTTTCTTGTGCAACATTCCCTGTGAATCTGATTTATTTTGTCTAAAATAKCTTTTATTAAAATGATACAGTACATGCGCTAATTTCTGCGCTCTTATTTTGATGTTCCGAGGCGGAAGTCGTGCGTTACCCTTCTGAGCAGCCGCAGCTAACAGTGTTTCCGGTCACTTTACAGCAGGTAGAGTGAGCCAGGTGTGTCAGGATGGCCGAGCAGTTTTACCTGGAGCTGAGTGAGAACCCCGTTCAGTTTGAACACGCCTCGAGCGTCAATAACGTCTTCTTCGATGAAGCTAACAAACAGGTGAGCTAACAGTTAGCATCAGCCTAGCTAACAGGTTACATCCGGTCAGCTAGCGAAGCCAGGCTAACCTGCTCAGTGACTTGTTTGTTTGTTTGTTTGTTTATGTGCGTATATTTACACATCAACGTGTCAGCATTGTTTCCTGTTATTTAATTAATAGATCGTGTTAACTGAGTCTGGTTCAGATATTTAATCAGATATATTTTATCAAAGAGTTTTATTAGATCAAACATCAGATTTTAAAGACATTTTCTATTTTAATTTAATTTAATAAAAAAGATAAACTGACAACTGATAAATTATGAAGCTGAAACTGAGTTATTAAGTTATAAGTAGCTAAAACAGGAGCTAAAACTATCAAAACAGTAGGTAAAAGCTAATAGCTAACTAAGTGTCACCGTTTAAAAAACTAGACTTTCAGGTTTTTCACAAATCTGCAGACTTGTCTCATTTTAATGAGGTAAAACTTTTAAATTAATTCAAGTATAAGTAAAACAGTTATAAACACTTTTTCCCTTAATAGTCTGAAAAAGCTGAAGGTTTGATACAGAAAGCGTTAAACAGCCGAAGGTTTGATACATGAAGGGTTAAACAGCTGAAGATTTGATTCATGAAGAACTAAAACAGCTGAATGTTTGATACATGAAGGGTTAAACAGCCGAAGGTTTGATACATGAAGGGTTAAACAGCTGAAGATTTGATACATGAAGAACTAAAACAGCTGAAGGTTTGACACATGAAGGGTTAAACAGCCGAATGTTTGATACATGAAGGGTTAAACAGCTGAAGGTTTGATTCTTGAAGGGTTAAACAGCTGAAGTTTGATACATGAAGAGTTAAACAGCTGAAGTTTTGATACATGAAGAGTTAAACAGCCCAGTATCTGCTGGGTAGTTGTAATTTTCACAGATTATTGT